CTAATATAATTTTGTACCTCTTCTAATTAATGCATTACTACTTATGTTACATACTTGTACTATATTTTTTGAGATTCTTATGACTACTTATGAATGTACTTTATTTTTCTTGCACTTAGCTATTTTTAGACAGTTTACTACAATTGCATGTCACTCATGTTTAGGAAAAAGGTAAGTTTGGTGGAAAATTGTACCTTTTTACAAAATTGAAAGTAGTTCACATAAGTCAGTAAGAGATTAAATATTAATAAGGTAACTCATGCTAGAAATTCTAATTTATTCAACTCACTTATCAAATATTCTTTTAAAAAGTGAATGAATGTAATTTAGGAAAGATTAACCTTAATTTTTTAATAATGAATGTTTTTGAACTTAATAACTTCTGGCTGTACTTAAATAAATCTCAGGATAATTAAAAAACTATAATTAAAATATTAAGTAGTAAACCAAAGATGTTTTAAATCTTTTCAATTTTTTAAACTAATTTAATGTTGTCTTAATTTTTAACAAGAAGAATAACATAAATGTGTGACATTAAAAAATCATATTTTGAGATTTATTACTTAAGGAACACAAATCTTCATCATATTTAATATAAAAGATGAAAAATATTGTCGACCAGATATAGTAATTCTCAAGAGAAAAAGAAAAAGAAAAAGAAAAAAATAGAAAAGAATAAAATGAGAGAAAAAAGAAAAAGACAAAGTCAAAAAGTAAAAACATTGAAAAGAAACTTGAGGTTAGCATGACAAAATTGAACAGAAAAAGAACCAGAATGGTACCTAGTAGAACTTATGTGATTACTCTTTTTCTTATTTCTTTAATGAAACTTCTCTAGGATTATCTTCAAGGAAAAAGTTAAGTAATATTAAATTGACTGGTTCTAGTGAGAATGCATTAAAAATATTTTAGGTTAGTGAAGATATTTTAAACATCACCAATTTAAGAATCTCTAGGATTTCCTAAGGTCAAAATGAAGAGAGTTAAGGAAATAATCAAATTATTAAATATTAAGAAAAATTGACCATGAAATGTCATTTAAACACTTTTATTTGACTTTGATAAACAAGTTGAATAGTTTAGAAACCTATAGGAGTACCCTTTTTTTCTCATAGGCCCTCAACTTAAATATGAGATTACTTGATGGAAAATAACGAGGTAAGTTTAGGGGTGTTGACATGAGTCAATTTTACATGATTCCACCTGCTTTTTACCATACATTTTACTTCTTATTTTTACTAATTTATCACAAATTTACACTTATGAAATGTTTTGTTGATGTAGTGCAAGTTATATGTGTTGAATACATGCATTTTGGAATTAGAAAACTAATGTAAAAGTGGCCTAAAATGGTGTGCCCATGCTTAAAAGATGCATGAACACGCCAAGCTATTGTCACCAGCAGCGTGATCATGCCATTTTTGCAGAGACATGACGTGACCACGCCAGGATTGGCATGACCATGCTGTCTGATTTAGATGGCTGGCGTGACCACACCACATTTCGGCGTGACCATGCCACATTTCAGCGTGACCATGCCAAAGGAGCAGAAAATTATTTTGGCATGAAATATTCTTACCAAATTCATAGACTAAGCTATAAAAATACTCCTTATGGTATCTTTTGAGAGAGAAGAAACCTAGAGATATATAAAGAGCAGAAAAGAGAGGGGTTTGGAGAGTTTTTCCTTAGGAATCTCTTCCCCTTTTTGGTGTTGAGGTGCTAAGGGTGTTTCTTATCTTTTCCTTTTAATTTTTCTCACTTATTCTAAGAGGTTTATTGTATGAGAGAGGAGTTGGCTACTGTGAAGTGAACAATTTATTTGTAAGTTTTTACTTTTCAATTTTAATGACTTTATTGGAATATTTTTTGTACGTTCTTTTCAACTTGTTCAGCTAAATTTTCTTTCGCACCTCTGTTATTCATGATATATGATTTTTGTGATTTTCTCTGATGATTTCTTTCAATATGTTGTTTTTCTAAGGAATGAGAGATTTGTTTTGTTAACCATATAGTTTCATTTACTCATTATCTAACCAATTAAGATGTTAACATATTTTATGATCTGTGACTCCTGCCTGTTTTGTAGATGAAAGAAATGATTAACCACAAAATCTGAGTAATAGTAGACATATTTTATCTGGATTTTGTAACCTAGAAAGGGGATAAAAATAAATCTGCGTATGCTATGGGGATTGAGGAAGCCTCAGTTTTATGCATTGTAGTCTTCTTTTGAACTGAGCATAGGCATAAGGAGGACTTTATATCCATATTGACAACTATCACATAGAGGAAATTCTAGGAAAACCATGAATAATCACATCACCTATATCATAGGAGAGTAAGTCTCACTTTCTCTGATGAGCAGTAATATATATTTACCAGTATTTTTTATCTTTTCCAAACTCATTATCATTAGTTTTCACTTTTAAGTTGGATATAGATAACCAACTCTTATTTGTGATCACAAAAACTAGGTTTAGAAGTGTAGTAAACTAGAGATTCACCCTCGAAAATAATTATTAACACTTTTCTTGTGAGATCGATACACAATACTCTTTAACCCCATTATTACTTTACATGTATACTTACGTGATTCGACCGACGTGCTTCTTTGCAACTTTTTGTGTCGTCATGGCTCTTTTAGATTGGTAGTAATCTTTAGGCCAAATTCATAAAATTTAAGTATTGTTAAGGTTAGCATCCCACGGTATGCTTTTATCAAAAAGGAACTCTCTTATTTGAAAGCGGCCTTGAGGAGTTAAATGGGAAGTGGATGCTATTATTTTTTGGGGGTTAGGTAAAAGGAACTCTTAGGATAATTTGTTGGGTGACACTATTATTGATGTATTAATTTACTCCCACTCCACAATCTCAACCACATTTAATTTTTTTTAGGAGTGATAGGTATAATGTTCCTAAACTAAAGCTTTTTCTTCTTGATAACATTTTTAATATGATTATTAAACTTTTGATCAGATCTGATAACTTGGATCAAATGCTTTTTATTTTGATCAATGATGGTATTTTTTTCTCTAAATCAAGTGTGGAATCTCTTAAGGAGTAGACTTCCGATAACATCCACAAACTCAATTATTAGGAGAGTTACAATGACTACCTCATGTTCTTTCTTGTGTTGGAAAATCTTAAAAGGTTTTATTTTTGTGGATGAAAATTTAAAGAAAAAAGCTTTTTTATTACATTTAAATGCTAATGTTATTCCCAAACAGAAACTACATATCATGTTTTTTTGTTGATGGTGTTATGGCTAGGCAGCTTTCTACTTAGATGGATGAATTATTCCAATAATCTATTCATGTTCCTAATTCTCTCATTTATTCCATATTTCAAAATAGGCTATTTGTCTATGATGCATTGATAATGGGAATATCATCACCATTTTGTCTTGTTATATCCTATGGTTCTTATGAAAAGAAAGAAATAATGCTAAGCAAAAAGGATTAAAATGAGCTTTCACCAAATAGTGTGGAGTGTTAAACAACAAATTATTGGCCTTTTTAAAACTAAACTCATTTAGAAAAAGTGATTTAAGATTTTTTTTTTTTTAATTTTATTTTTAGTTGTTGAGTTTAACTTGATTTTTAAATATTGTTTGATTTTAATAATTTAAATTTCATTTAATTTTGATTTTGTTAATTTTATTTTTAGTTGGTGAGTTTAACTTGATTTTTAAATATTGTTTGATATTAATAATTTAAATTTCATTTAATTTTGATTTTGTTTGATTTGATGATTCAAATTATATTTTATTTTGATTTAATTTGGTGATTTTAATTTTATTAATTTGCTTTTGATTTTAATTTTGTAATTTTTTACTTATGTTCTATTTAAAACTTTCAATAAGTTTGTGTAAATTTTGATTTTCATTAATTTAATTTTTAGTGAATTTGGGCTTCTAATTTTGATTTTGGTTTCAATTTATGATTTCACTTTGATTTCAAGTTCATAATCTGTTCGATTTTGACTTTGAATTTCAATTTTCGTTGAATTTAATTTTCATTTGTGATTTTCATTTCATTTTATCTTTTATTCAAGGATGAACCCTATCTTAGTTCAAAGTAAGTCTCATACCTAATGTGCCCTTTATGAACTAAAGAAAGTGCTATCTAGGGAGTTTTGAAGAAGAAGTGTCGAGTCCATATATTCATTATGCACACCTAATATTTTTTCATCTATAAGGCCTTTCTGAGCCAAATCAAGAACAGATGCATGAGTAACCCTTGGAACTTTCATGTCGTGTCAAGGGCATAAAAAATAAAAAATAAAAAAACAATAAAAAAAATGTAAAGAGAGGAATGGCAGTTCAAATATGTATTTGGATCTACAACCGGATTTTCCCACAAAATCCTATGCAAAATTCGTCAGTTGAATGCGATGGACTTTCCAAATGTTTTTCGGCCAGCAAATCCTCCAATACTATTGTTGAAAAGTCCGCCGGCAATATAGATGAATCTTCTTGCTTGTGGATCAAACGATGCGAGTGCATTTCTTGCGTTGTTCCACTTTTTTGCCTCATAACGTGGAAAATAGCGCCACATGTCAAGTGAGCTCCACCGTTTTTAATACTGGCTAATGCCAGTGTATTATGGTGGGGCCCATTTGACACTGGGCGTCCCACCATTGGACTTCGAATGTAATATTTTTTCACGTGACACATATAACGTGTAACAAACACAACTTAAACGAGAATTTCTACTCTTTATGCCCTCTACCGAAGTGGCAACCAATACAAGATTTATAAATAGATAGAAATTGTAATAGACTATATCTTATGATTCACTTAAGACCCTATAGACCAGTCATATTTTGTAATTATTTTTTCTGTCATAAACCAATACTGCAGAAGTACTCCAATCTCACCAATTGTTCTTCTGCATTCTCTTCTATGTAGTTTGTGTCAATTTTTATCTTCCTGGAATTTTAATCTTTAATGTTCAAACAGCAAAATCTGAGCAAATAATTATGAAGAAACCTTTGCACTAAATAACATTTCTTCAATATTGCAAACCATAGACTTTGTTCAGCACATTATAAACATGAAGCAACAAGCAGCTATAGTTAGGATTCATACAATTCTTATTGGTAACTTCAGAAACTAATCATTTCTTGACAATTCTATAACTGTCGATCAAAAAATAACCATACACAGATCGTTATAACCAGCAAGTATACTGAGAGAGTGATCTTCTTTCCATAATCAGATTTAGTGTGATCATCATCATCTAAGCCAGGATGCTCGAAATTCTCCAATGTGTTGAAATCACCTGCAAGCGCAATTGAACTGAAACCCCTAAATTCTTAATGTCTGTATGTATAATAGATATATATTACTAAAATTTATCATTTGATATTTTTCATAACAAAATATGAATTTGTGACTTCTAAATTAAAAAAGATGAAATTTTTCATCTCTATTGCTTATAAGACTTAAACCTCTGTTTTCATCATGGCTGCAACCGCGCTCCAGCGCTTGGCCAACTTTGAGCAGAGTTGCACCATTGTAGAACCTGAAGTTGCTTAAGATATTGTGCAAGCATTGCAGCACAAGCTTAGTCTCTTGCAGGCATGGCCCTCCGCAGTAATCGTCCACAGCTTCGGCCGGAACGACTATCCTCCCTTCTGCCTTGAGCCTGTACGACTCCTGACAGGTGCTATATAACTTCCAGTTTCGCAAACCATGCAAAAAAATATTAATAATAAGTCTCCATTATCTTCAACACTATAAACTTAAGTAGAAATTAATTAGTTCCTTAACCTACATGAGGATCGTTGAAACATGCCATGGCTTCGGTGACAATGTCCATTGCATCTTCTTCTACGTGAAGTATTATTAAAACGTTGTTAAGCACGTTAATTAGCACTTAAGGTGTGATTGGGGCAGCTTGTGCATTTCAAGATAAACATCTTATCTTGAAATGCAGCCCACACGATCATGGGGTTTGTATCGCGGCCAACATTTAGTGAGCCCACACGATCATGGGGTTTGTATCGCGGCCAACATTTAGTGTAAAATTGAAACCGTGTTTTCGGATAAACAGACAAAACGCTTGATCTAAACGATGCCGCGACTTTTTCAAAAACGCCCCCGTACTTATAAGCTGCTGTAAACATGAGATAAAAAGATAAGAGATTAAAGGAAATAACATGCAAACCTGACTTGCAGCAAATGGTGACACTTAAGAAGAGAATTAGTATGAGAGTGCATGGACGTTTGAAGAAAAGAGAAGAAGCCATTGTTGGAGTGACAGAACACTAGTGCAGCTAAATACTGAAAATCACTAGTTGCAGAGATTTGCTATTACTATTTACCATTTTGGAAGCTGTGCATTTAAGTGTAAACTAACTCAACTACTCTTGCAGACTGTAATCTTGTCTTCTGTTCTTCGTTTAGTTTAAATTTTTGGTGTATGGGAAACCAACCAAATTATTTTATTTTGTGCAGTCCAAACGCCCTTCTATTGGAACATAATGGCTTTATTGCACTATAAAGAAATGGATTTGGGAGATAGGGAGTGTTAAGTAATTTAGGATTGTTTAGGATGTGGGGTTGTAATGTTTGGTGGTTTAGTCCTGGTGTGTTGAGAAGGATATACAGTTTGGTAAGAAAATTGTGGCCAACTTGAATGACAGGCCAGGAATTGTGCATTCTAATAGTTTGGCATTTGAAAATGATTTCATGTTTTATGATTAATTAGATTTTTTTTTTAATAATAATGCAATAATATTTTAAGGGGAGATCTAGCTATTGTATTAAAATTTATGTTCATATTTTTATTCACTCAAATAAGTTGACTATATATATATATATAATGAAGATTTGCAACAAGATTAAAACATCAGCCTTATTTTTTGGGAAAGAGGCATACTCTAATTTTTTTAAAGAGGTTATTGTTTACTATAAATATTTTGAGCCTAAAGTGAGTTAAAAATATCAACAATCTCTCCTCTAATTAATTTTTTAAAATAATTGTTATTAACTATTATATTTATATATATATATATATATAGTGAAAAATTAAACTGTATTTAAAGTAAAATATTTATAGTTTAAAAAAATTAAATAGTATATTTAAATTTTAAGGTGTTTATATTTTTAAGTTTGAATAATTTATAAATTTAAAATTTTTAATTATCATAAATTTGATAATAAATATAATTTTTTGTAATATTTCGCTCCATCTTTCAGAATACATTAATTTATTGTATAAGTCTCTAAATAAAAGAAAATATTTTAAAATTTATATGAGGACTACAAGCAAAAATTTAAATTGAAAATAAGAAAGAACGAGGTAAAAGATACTTAAATAGTACTACTAATCACACAATAAAAAAAAACCCGAAATAAGTCAAAATAGAAGAGTTTTACGAAAATGATATAAAATGAAATAGAAAACTCAAATGAGTCACTAATACCTACGACGATGTCTCAATATGATGGCTACACTACCAGGGTTGTAGTGGTATGGGACATGAAGTGGCCTATCACATAGGTGATGTTATTACTACTCTAATACTCCTTGAACATGTGCACCAGCTCCATTGCTGGAGTGTGCTCTATTATGTAAGATAAATATTGTCTTCTATGTTATCGTTGTGATAAAGGGTATCCATGACTGTTGTTATTGTGAAGCTGATGGAACATGTGTGGCAATTAACTCCTAATACTACCCTTGATAATATGGCATCGATAGTCCAACCCTTGCCATCATCCATGATGGTTGTGCACGATGAAGTGAATATTATGAGATTCCTGCCTCAGTCCTTGCCTATTAGCATTAAATATGAAATATTAAAGAAAATAACTACTCAATGATGACACCTCTATAGCATTAAAACACCCAAGGAAGTATACTGAGCAGTCGATCTAATTCACCGACTCGCCGAGGACAAAAAAATGTTATTGAAGACAAACAAAAGTAGAGATTAGAGAGCGAACACAAAGGAAAAACCCTAAGCTCTCGTGGCCGAAAGCTTTTGATGATTTTGAAAGGAAAAGAATCAGAAGAAGGGGAGGTGGCCAAAATCTAAGACTTTCAAAAAGGGAAGGGGAGGCCGGTTGTGGTTAAGTGGCTTAGGATTTTTTCTTTTTGTTTATATATATAGTGTATTAATATATTATATTAATTATATAACTTATATAAATACACAATATTTATACAACTAATATTAATATATTATAATTTATAGGATTTAATTTTTTAAAATCTGATAAATTTTTAGAGTATACAATTATTTTAAAAATATGATAAATTATATATATATAATTAGTTTAAATTATTTATTTCGAACAATAATAATTTGAAGACGATCAAACAAACGACTATTTGTGTTTGGTTAATTCGAAGACGATCAAACAAACGACTATTTGTGTTTGGTTTGTTTATAAACCGAACGAAAAAAAAATTTATTCGTGTTCGACTCGTTTACTTATCAAACGAATTGAACACGAACTCTCTGGCGAGCCGAACACGAACAGTTCACGAACAATGAGCTTTTTTGACAGCCCTAGTGGGGGATGGAGGTGGTGATTGTTGTGTTAACTAGTAAGCATATGAAAGAAAGGAGACTTTTGAGCTAGTATGCATAGATTTTTGTGTTCCTCGATGAGTAAAAGGGTGAGTTCCTACATTTTCATCTAAAGGATCCTCAATGTAAACCTAATTTTAAAAGTGCATAGCTCAACACATACAGTTACATAGCTTCTCAAAATTGTTGAACGAAGAGTGGGCTATCGCCTTTGCCATCAAAGTGAGGTTGTAAAATCTCATAGTATTATAGAAAAAAGTCACACTATAATGTAAGAAATAATATTATGTTATTTAATAACTAAAATCGAAGATAATAACTATCTATTAGACTTTTATGACATATTACATATCATTAAAATATATTAAAAAATTCTCTACACACCATAGCTCGCTCTACAGGTAACCTTGGGTACTATTATTCAGAGCTAGTGTAGGAGTCTTTAGCAAATATAGACCCATCCATGATTGATACGATGTCTTATTCTTTATGTCATCTCCTCAGGATTACAAACAACATCATTACAAGCAACAAAATATACTTCCTTGTCATTCCACAACATATTATAGCTATATGAAATAAGATGAAGTAGAAGAAGTACATGAGAATGATATAAGATTAAAAAGAAAACTCAAATGAGGCACTAATGTCTACGATGATGTCTCACTAGAATGACTGTACTAACATGCCTATTGTATTTAAGGGCATAAAGTCTCCTGTCATGTAGGTGATGTTATTACTGCTCTAAATTTTTATACATGTGCTTCACCTCCACTCATACAATTTTCTTTATTAGTTATAATATATATTATGTATTTTATGTAGTTGTTGTGATATTCAACATCCATGGCTTTCACTACTATAAAAATGGTGGAGCATGTATGAAAATAAACACCCAAAACTATCCTTGATAATGAAACATCAATCTCCCAGTACTTATCATCATATATGATCGATCTGGTGCATAATATCCTAAAGGGGTGAATGGTTACATGAATATTCTGATACACATCCCTCAATCCTTCCATGATTTAGTGCATTTAAGATAATGACTAATGAGTTAGGGGGAGGAGCAGTAAACTTGGAGACTCCTGAGCTGGTAAGCATAAATGGTCCTACTCCTGTATGAGTAGATGGATAACATCCTACATCTTTAACCCGAGGGTCCTCAATATAAGGCCCACTTAAAAAGTGCACAGCTCCATTCATACAACTACATATCTTATCAAAACTATTGAAGGACATCTGCAATGGGCTATCGTCATGGCTATCAAAGTGAGGCTAAAAACTCCTAAAACTTAAAAAAAAGTCATGATATAACAAAATAAATGAGACTATATTGTTTACTAATTAAAACCAAAGATAATAATTATATTTTAGACTTATTTTACATATAATATGTGCTTAACATATATAAAAAAAATCTAATGTACAACATATTATAGCTTGCTCAAAAGGTGGCGTTGGATAGTATTTGTTTGGAGCTTCTGTAGGAGCCTTCAACAAAAAATAATGTCGCCCAAGAATAATTCCATGTCATGTGCTATGCAATGACCTCCTTTGGGTTAAGAACAACATTAACTAATATGTGCAACAACATATACTCACCTATCATTCCACAACTTGAAATATTGCTAATGGCACTTTGCCTATTTTATATCCCCTTCTCATCTCAATCGGAAACATAAAACTAACTTCAATAAGATCCATGTTAATCCAAGGGAGTCAACCAAACTGTCATATGACATGCTTTAGAATGTGCCAGTTGATGCTCTGAAAATTACCGCGAAGTAAGTAGGTCATGCAACGTAAGTGCATGTGTTAATTAGAATGCGGCTAAAGAGTAGCGCGTATTGATCCCACAAGGATAGTGCCAAAATATTTTCAATAGACAAAGTTCTAATTTAATGAACCGCTAAGTCTAGTTTGAATTGTTCAAAATCAACAGATCAATCTTCCTAAAAAGGATATAAACATAAATAACAGTAAAAAATGTTGACCTTTTCAGATATTTACGATTCATACTCCTGTGATATAGTTTAGATGGTTTCTTATAGTTTTCTTATGGTTCCTACACTAGAGTTGACAACAAGGGATAGAAAGTTCTCCTTATGTCTATATCTAAGCAAGGAGAAAACTAAATTCCATAGAGTTGAGGCTTCCTCACTCTCAATGCATTCTACAAGCGTATTCAAATCCTCTGGAAAGGCTGCAAAATCCTACTAGAATATATTTATTTGCTTGGGACTCTGTGTTTAACCCCTCATTTCCACTATACAATGGTTAGAGGTCGTGGCTTCACAAAAGGTTTTAGCTTCTCTATCACATCCAATAAGAAGTAAATAATGATTAGAAGGTTAACACATCAACATGAAATATTTATGCTCAAAAAAGGCATCGTGAGAACACAAGATCCATAACATGAGAATTATAAGAAATCCACAAGATTAACATCACAAGTATACAAAATAAAATTAGTTACGATGCATGATTAAAAGAAACATAAAAAAAGGTTTTAGCTTCTCTATCACATCCGAAGGGGAGATGATATAAGGATCATATACAATTCAAGAATGAGCCAAACGGATTGTAATGGCTAAAATACGAAGGGGAGATGATGTAAGGATCATATACAATTCAAGAATGAGCCAAACGGTCCCTTGCAAATTATCAATGTTCTTTCCGATCAATTCAACCTTTCATGGATCTCTCTCATACCAATTGCCCTC